CAGCAACTGTTTTTTTTTCTTCCACTTCCTTGTTCTCCGTTATAAACTTCCTGTCTGCACTTGTAATGTGCCCAATTTTACTAGTGAGACTTATGAGTAGGCATCGGCTGAATTTTCTTTAGTCATAGAATCCCTACAGTGTGGAAACAGGCCATTCGGCCCAACGAGTCCACACCGCCCCTCCGAAGACCATCCCACCCAGACCCATTCTCCTTCCCTTTCCCCATAGCCTGGCATTTCCCATGTCTAATCCACCTAACTTGCACACCCCTGGACACTACGGGCAATTTTAGCATGGTCAATCCACCTAACCTGTACATCTTTTGGTGCAGCTAAGACAACACCAGAGAAACTTGACATCATCCAGGACAGCAGTTCAGTTCAACAGAGTTCTAGCCACCCATCTTATTGGCAACCAGTTCACATGAGTATACAATATATTCATTATTGGAATGTAGCTTCTTTGGCCAGAATTTATTGCCTATCCTTAATTGCCCAAAGGCAATTCGGATTCAGCCATATTGTCATGGGTCTGGAGTCACATATAGGGCAGACCCTATAACAATGGTAGATTTCCTTTCCTAAAGGATATATGTGAAGCAGATGGGGCTTTTCTTTATAACAATCAACAGTGATTCAGTAATTGCTATTTGTCAGCTTTTTAATTCCATATTTTTATCGAACGTGCATTTTGCTGCCTGACATGGAAGGATTTGAATCCATGTCCCCCGAACAATAGCTCAAGGTCCCAGAATGCTAGCCCAGTGACATTAGTGTTTTACTTCCACCTTACCTCATTTACGAGATGTCACACGGTGAATTGCTGCAGTACATTGATTGGCTTTTCCCTGTGATCTCTTTCTACAAAGAAATACCATGGGAGCATCTTTCACCTTCCAATCTCCACCCTCCCCCACCAAGTCTCTCTGTTTTCTGTAGTGATAAGCAGTATGCTTTTAATGATAAAAGCTCCAACAGTAACCCTCTGCTCTGAGAGAAAATGTTGGAGTAGGGGAGGAGCTAAAAATCCTATGCTCTCCACACTTCGACTGTAGTTTATGTTCCATATCAGGGAACAAATTATTATTTTTGTTTAAATTTCTTGAGAGCTTGGCTTCAAGGTTCACTGGATTGTCATTGACTGAATTTGAAAAAAAAAACTCCATTGTCAGTCATGTAAGCAATTTTGATAGTGAAACCCAATTTAAGAAAGTGTCATACTTTAAAGGAAGAGTGTTAAGAACCATTTGAGATTCTACATTGTTTAGTCCACTAATATCCTACCTTTCTTAAAAAAAAATTGATTTGGAGATGTAGACTCTGACTAAATGACTATTTGTTAGATTAAACTAACGGAGAAAATAATGAAATTAAAGACAATACAATCCGAGGGCTGACCACTGTGAGACCCTGCTGCACTTTCCTGGTCCTGGATGTCCTATTGGTGTCCATGTGGGTGTTTGGAATCGGTTAGTGATATCAAAAGGAAATTGGATAGCCATTTGAAGGAAATACATTTGCAGTGCCATGAGGATTGAGGGGTGAGTGGGACTGGCTAGCTTGCTCCTCCGGCAACTGATATGGGCTGAATAACCACCTTTAGCACTGTAAATATCTCTACAAATCTAATAAAGGGTGACAAGTTTAGAAATCTCCCCTACAAAGAAGAACTGATTTAACATCAGTTGTTAATTTATGCTGATATTGATAAACATTTGTTTGCTAAAGGTATTTAGAGATATAGGTTAAAGAGAAGTAGACGTTAGATTGTAGATCAACTGTGATCTCATTGAGTGGAAAGAGAGTAACTCACCACCTGAGTCCCCAAAGCCTGTCCACCATCTACAAGGCACAAGTCAGGAGTGTGATGGAATACACACCACTTGCCTGGATGAGTGAAGCCCCAACAACACTCAAGAAGCTCGACACCATCCAGGACCAAACAGCCCACTTAATTGGCACTACATCCACAAGCATCCACTCCCTCCATCAGCAAGGCTCAGTAGCAGCAGTGTGTACTATCTACAAGATGCATTGCAGAAATTCACCAAAGATCCTCAGACAGCACCTTTCAAATCTACAACCACTTCCACCTAAAAGGACAAGAGCAGCATGTACATGAGAACACCACCGTCTTCAAGATCCCCCTCCAAACCACTCAACATCCTGACTTGGAAATATATTGCCGTTCCTTCATTGTCGCTGGGTCAAAATCCTGGAATTCCCTCCTTTAATGGCACTGTATGTCAACCCACAGCAGATGGACTGCAGCGGCTCAAGAAGGCAGCTCACTACCACCTTCTCAAGGGCAACTAGGGACAGGCAATAAGTGCTGGCCAGCCAGCAACATCCACGTCCCACAAATGAATTTTTAAACAAATGGGAAAATGTTCATGAGGCTAAAGGCTCTTGTCCCTTTGTATCTATGTGATTTATTTCTCAGTGGCAAGGAAGGGAATGCCAGGATTTTGATCCAGCAACAGAGAACGAATGGCGATAGTTCCAAATCAAGAAGGTGTGTGGCTTGGAGAGGGATTTGCTGGTGGTGGTGTTCCCATGCACGTGCTGCCTTTGTCCTTCTATGTGGTACAGATTCACGGGCTTGGAAGATGCTTTTTAAAGAAGCCTTGGTGAGTTGCTGCAGTGCACCTTGCGGATGGTGTATACTGCTGCCGTAGTACATCAATGGTGACGGAAGTGGATGGTTATGGTAGTAGCTGCGTGCTGATCAAACAGGATGCCAAGTCATCGAGGTTGGGGCTGCACCTATCCAGTATTTGATCAAATTCCTGACTTGTGCCTTGTAGATTGTAAACAGGATTTGAGAAGGTGGTGTTATTTGCTGTGGAAATTTTAAGCTTCTCGGCTTTTTAGCAGTCGTATTTATATAGCTGGCCAAGTTCAGTTTGAAAACAGTGGTAACCCTTAGGTCATTGTTAGTGGTTATGCCTTTGAAAGCCAAATGGTGTTGACTAGATTCTCTGGTGGAGTTGGTCATTGCACAGCACTTGTGTGACAAATGTTATCAGCTCCAGTCTGGTTGCTGTCCTTGTCTTGCTGCATATGATCATGGACCGCTCATTTAAAGGAGCCTGCTGTGTGAAACCTACGAGGAGACATCTGGGTAGCTGCATATCTTAAATCATCACTACCAACTCTACTACCTCTGGTAGGTCTGATGTTGGGCAGGGTTGGGGAGGAAGCAATGTATGGCATATTCCGGGATGATGATAGAGGATTCTGAGTCATGATCTGAAAAGTTTGATTCAGTCACTTGACCAATCTGTTGGGAAGTTTCCTTATTTTGGAGCAAAACCTCAGTCTTGTTTAGATACTTTGGATTTGTATTTAAATGTCTCTTTGCTCAATAATTTAGATTTTAAAAGTTGGATGAACTAAAGCATTCTTGAATTCTCACTATTCTACCAAATAGTTTTGTTAATCCTTGTTCTATACATATGTTCCTACTTAAAATCTTGCTGATTTGGTTGAATGCACTATAAAGAATCATTCGTTCATGTAATTTTAAGTACGTGAACCACCATTTGAATACATTGCATTAAAGTTGTATGTCTCAGTCAGTGCTTCCTGATGCTGACTGAACTGGTTCAGTAAACTACTGTTAGCCTTGTGCGTTATTTTTCTGTTTTCAGACATTGTGGAGCAAATATTTTGCTTTCACCCACCTCAATAGATCAGCTCTTCAGTGGTATTGGCAGCCATTTTTTCTGATATGATGTCCTGCACTTTTTTCTGAGGAGACAGCCATTTTAAAAAAAAAAGGCTAAATGAAACTATAATAACTTACTAGATTTGCTTTCTCTTTTAAAGTGTTTCCAAATGTACACTCAAATACTTAATCGGGGCTCATAAGAAAATAACACATTGAAACAGAAGTAGACCACTCAGCACACAGAGTTTCCAATGAGATCATGGTTGATCTGACAATCTTCAACTCCCTGTCTTGTAGTTTCCCCATAACCCATGATTCCCTTACTGATTAAAACTCTATTATATTCAAAGCTGAAATACAATGACCCAGGCTCAACAGCCCCCTCTGGTAAAGACTCCTACTGATTCACAATTTTCATGTTAGGACTGAGATAATCAATTTAACCTACCAAGTTGGATATGCAAGTAATGAATCATTTTGAAACCTGAATGGAGTTCAAAGAAATGATTATTGCAAGGAAATAAGCCTGCCAGAAAGACTGCGCTAAACTTCCATTTCTTTCACTATAATAAAGGCTTCACTGATGCTGAATTTGATAGTTGGATTTGAGTGCTGGAACCTTCATATAAGACCAGCAAGGATACTAACCTGCTCCCTATAAATGTTTGTTTCATTGGCAAACATATGACTTTCGGTTGAGAAATCGACATCAGCAATAAATGTTAATGAGACTCAGCACAGGTCCTGTGGAATCTTAATTTCTTTCAAGATTGAGTGAATTCCCATTATCCTTGCACTATTTCGTTTGCTAACAGTATTTTTTTATTGTGGTCCATGTAAATAAACAACCAAATGGCTATGATGATATTTCCTCAAAAAATATGTAATTAATATGATGAGAGAAATCCTACCCTTTTAAAAAGGTCATATTGGCTTTAATTCATTCTGAGTCACTGTCTTAATTGTTGATTTCAAACATCTCCCACAACAGCAGTTAGACTAACATTAGTTCGATCATTTCCTAGTGTCCTGAAATTTGAGAGCTGCAGAAGTCATAGCATAGTCATAATAGAGCACTTAAATTATCTGAATTCTGTTTCAGATACCGCTTGTGTGAAGGACACACAAGCAGTGTATTTGAGTGCATTAAGAAAAAAATCTGTAGCGGTATGTTTACAGTCCAATAGGAAAGGAACCATTGTTAGATCTAATTCTTGGAACCACGTGGTGAGTCACATGAAACACGTGTCACTTGGGGAACATTTTAGTGGACAATGATCTTTGTACCATAAGATTTAGCTTAGTAATGGAAAGGGATGCAGAACAATCCACAGAAGCAATAAGTAACTGGGAGAAAACAAACTAAACTGGATTAAGAGCAGATGTGTGCAAAATAAGCTAGAGCTGAAGTTTAACAGGTGAAATTGTAGTTGAACAATTGGCTTCCTTCAAATTAGTAATACCTTATAGACACTATCAAGGTGCAGAGTCATAGTGTTTTAGCACATGCAAAGAGGCCCTTCGACCCATGTCTGTGCTAGTCATCAAGCACCTATCTTCTTTAGTCCCGTTTTCCAACACAATGGCCCACAGCCTAATATCCTATGGCATTTCAAGTGTTCATCTGAATACTACCTGAAATGTCAACTGGTGCCACCCTTTCTGACAGTGAGTTCCATATACCCACTGTTATGGACCAGACCAGACCAAACCCCCTCAAAACATGCCAAGGAGACCGTAACTTTTTCTTATTTTAAAGGCAAGTGCCAGGCATTGCATTCTGGATGCAATTAGATTGGTCACACTACCAGATTTGAAGCAAAACATAATTTATTCATACACTATTGTTAAAATACAAACAAAAAAAAGGATTGGATAACAACTCTATTGGAAAATTTAACAGAATGATCGATTCTTTAACTACTAAACAGCAAATGTTCCAACATAGTAACATCCCGTAAACACACCCTTGGCCAAGGCAAATTCAGTAAAATAGATTATCTCGCACACAATTCTAGCATCAGGAAGAGGACCCCACCTTTTAGCTGTAACAGAGGGAGGAATAGGAGCTTCCACATCCAGCTTCAAGACCACAGCAACTGCTGAAAGCTAAAACTAAAAATCCTGGTTCTGTGGGAGCTTGACCCCACCTATTCCAGCTGCTTCTATTGTTCCAACTTGTAAGAGAAAGAACTTGAAGGCCTCGCAAGCTGTTTACTTTATTGTCTTTGGGCAGACCACTCGATGCCTCTGTTTCAAACCCTCTTCATAAAAAGACAGGACAAAATACACCCTGTAAAGCCATAGTAGCATTGCATCCACCATCCTCTGGGTGAAAAAAAATTTAAGTCCCCTCTACACCTCCTGCCCTTGTTCTTAAATCTGTTCTCTGGTTATTGATCACTTCACTAAGGGGAAGACATTCTTTCTACGTCCCTCATAATGTTATACACCTCATTCAGATTCCCCATCAGCTTCCTCTGCTGTAAGGAAAGCATTCCCAGACTAACTCGTCTCTTTTCAGACCAATGTCAGGCAACATCCTGGTGCATTCCCTCTGCACTCTGTTTAGGGAGAATGTAATTTCATTATAATGTGGCAATCAGAACTGCACGCAGGACTCCAGCTATGGCCTATCTATGATCTTGTACAGCTCCATTATAAACTCCTTGCTGTTGTATTCAATGACTTAACTAATGAAGGCAAATATCTGTAGGCCACCTTAACAGTCTTATCTACCTTTTTAGGTTGCCTTCAAGGATCTATGGATGTGCACACTAATGTCTCCGATCCTCTATACTTCCTAGTGTCCTACAATTCCATTGCCTTGTTAGCGCTCCCAAAACATATCACCCCTCACTTCTCAAGTTTACGTTCCATTTGCCATTGTTTTGCCTATCTGATCAGCCTGTCTATAACAGCCTCAAGTCAAAAGCTTTTCTCCTCACTATTTACTACACCAATTCTGTCATCTGCAAGCTTACTGATCAAACCTCCTGCATGCATGTCTAGATCATGAATGTAAACATTGATGTACTTACCCTCAAAAGGGAAACATTGGGCAAATGAAGCCAGAGCTCACTTGGTGACAAAAAAGGTAGAAATTAAGACAAAGAAGAAAAAAATCTGTGTTTATAATGGATCCCAAGTAGAAAATATAATTGAGCCAGTCTGAATATAGAAGGTTTAGGAGGGGGGTGGAAAAGCAAATAAGAGAAGCAAGGAGGAAGCATGAAAAAAGACTGGTAGCCAACATAGAAAGGGATTTCCCCAAAGTCTTCTATAGGCATATAAATAGTAAATGGCTGGTAAAAGGAGGATTAGGCTTATAGGGACCAAAAAGGGATTTACACATGGAAGTACAGAACATAACTGAGGTCTTAAGTTAATATGTTGCACTCATCTCGACCAAGGAATAAGGTGCTGCCCAGGCAACAGTGAAACAGGAGGTAGTTCATGTACTGCATAGGCTGTCTGTAAGTAATTTTTTTTTTTCTTTTTATATTTGTTCATAGGATGAGGGCATCACTGGTTAGATCTGCATTTATTGCCCGTCTTTGCCTGGTCCGGCCTGCGTAAGACTCCAGACCCCAGCAATGTGGTTGACGTTTAACTGCCCTCTGGACAGTTAGGTGTGGGCAATAATGTTAGCCTAGCAAGTGACACCCTTATCCAAAGAACACGTAAACAAATTTAACACTTTTTATTTGTGAGCAAGGTGCTTGGCTTTTTTTTTTAAAGACATTAGTTTGCCCTTAGCATTCCGTCCTGTTCTGGACATTGAACTTTAGGAAAGAAGTGAAGACATTAGAGACAGTGCAGACAGGATTCTATTGAATAGTTCCAGGAATGAGGAGCTTCAGTCATGAGGATAGATTGGAGAATGTTGGGACTTTTTCCATGGACAAGAGAAGGCTGAGAGAAAACCTGACGGAGGTGTTCAAGGTAACGATGGTTCTGGATGGATTGGATATGGACAAGATGTTCTCTATCTTGTCACAGTTGAAACAAGTGGTACAGATTTACTTTAATTGGTAAAAGGAGTAAAGGTGACATGAGGAAAAACTTTTTCATGCAGTAAGTGGAGTTAAGGTCTGGAATACGTTGTCTGAGAGTGGAAATTGAAGCTTTCAAAAATGAATTGGGCTAATATTGGAAAAGAGAGAGATGTAGCATTAAGGGAGAAGCCAAGAGAATGGCATAACTGAATTGCTTATTCAGGGAGCTGGTGCAGACATGATGGGCCAAGTGGCTTTCTGTGCTGTAACATTGTTGTCAAATTTCTGGAAATCCCTCCTTAACAGCATTGTGGATCTGCCTACAGCAGGTGGACTGCAGTGGTTCAAGAAGGCAGCCCGCCACCACCTTGGACAATGAACGGTATGCCCAGCCAATGATGTCCATGTCTCATGTATGAATTTTTTTGAAAAAAAATTCTAGTAAAATTACACATTCACCTGCAATGTCCCTTCCCTCTGGTCTGAAGACTGGCATCATGTCGAAAAACTTGCCCAAGCTATTTTTAACCACAGATATTTAAATAACTCCACAGAGGCCAGTATCCAAAAATCAAAACACCCTTTATTTACATGTGTAGAGTCCTTGACACTGATCCAGCTCCCTTAGAGCCAGCTCTCAGAGGAAACAGAACCTCTGACACTCCTGTTCTTACTTATCAGCCAGGGTTTCCTGATTTGAACCAGATTAACAGCCCCAATCAGGGAACTCATATTCTATGATGTCCACCTGGCTAACCTCATTACAATCACTTCAGATATCTTGTTAGACGTTGTGCATTAAAATAACATTTGGAAGGTGTAAACGACACTACAAATTAACCTGGAATTGCCTGAACCATTTGTAATTTTTCCTAATATACTTAATAACTCTTGTCAAGCTATTTCTGTCTGGAAAACCATGTTACCACTAATAGAGCAGAAAAATCTTTTGTTTTTGTCTTGCTCCAATGGATTATCAGCACTAAAACAATATTAAAGATTCTCATGATTGTACTTCATTCATTATTTATTGCTAATTTAAGGGAAATCAGTGTGTGTACTGCTAATATTCACTGTGGCCACAAGTTTTTAATTTATTTTAAAATCTGGTATCCATGGAGAGAGAGCTAGTTATTTTGGCTGGTATTACCACCAACAATTTATGGCATCTTTTTTAAATCTGAGACCTAAAGAGATGTTTGAAAAGTTGATGAAAGGCGTCTTAAGGAGAGATTTGAGGAGGGAACTTGAGTTTGGAGCCAGTTGAGCCATGATGGTTAATTGTGGGGTGATTAAAAATCAGAAACGCACAAGAATCCAGAATTAAGGAGCACAGATCTTTGAAGGTCATAGGGCTGAAGCAGGCTGTTGAAGTAGGGAGAGACAAGGGCATGAAAAAAATTGAATTGAAAGCAAAGTAGAAAATTTAACAAGTAATTTTTTTTTCTTTAGCAGTAGTCAATGCAGGTAAAGTGTATTCGGATCCAGGCAGCAAAAAAAATGCAATCAGTTGAGGGCAGTTAGAGTCCTAGAGATGTACAGCACAGAAACAGACCCTTCGGTCTAACTCGTCTATACTGACCAGGTATCCCAAATTAATCTAGTCCCATTTGCCAGCATTTGGCCCGTATCCTTCTAAACTCTTCCAATTCACATACCCATCCAGTTGCCTTTTAAATATTACAATTGTGCTAGTCTCCACCACTTTCTCTGACAGCTTGTTCCATATATGCACCGTTTGTGTGTAAAAGTTGCCCCTTGGGTCCCTTTTAAATCTTTCCCCTCTCACCTTAAACCTATGCCTTCTAGTTTTGGACTCCCAAGGCTTGGGAATAAACCTTGACTATTCAGCCCATGCATAACCTTAATGATTTTATAAACCTCTGTAAGATCACCCCTCAGCCTCTGACGCCCCAGGGAAAATAGCCCCAAGCCTATTCAAACCCTCCCTAAGCTCAAACCCTGCAACCCTGGCAACATCCTTGTAAATCCATTCTGAACTATTTCAAGTTTAACATCATCTTTCTCACATCAGGGAGACCACAATTGAATGCAATATTCCAAAAGTGGACTAACCAATGTCTGTACAGCTGCAACGTAACTCCCGATTCCTATACTCAATGCAGTGACCAATAAAGGCAAGCGTACCAAACTCCTCCTCCACTACCCTGTCTACCTACAACTCCTTTTGCAAGGAACAATGAACCTGCACTCCAAGGTCTCTTTGTTTGGCAACAGTCCCCAAGAACCTTACCATCGAGTGTATAAGTCCTGCCCTGATTTGCCTTTCCGAAATGCAGCACCTCCCATTTATCTAAATTAAACTCCATCCGCCACTCCTTGGCCCACTTGTCTATCTGATCAAGGTCCCATTGTACTCTGAGGTAACCTCCTTTGCTGTCCACTACATCTCCAATTATGATGTCATCTGCAAACTTACTAACCATACCTCCTATATTTACATCTAAATCATTTATGTAAATGACAAAAAACGTAGACCCAGCACTGATCCTTGCAGCACACTGCTGGTCACAGGCCTCCAGTCTGAAAAGCAACCCTCTACCACCACCCTGTATCTTCCACCTTCGAGTCAGTTCAGTATCCAAATACCTCGTTCTCTCTATATTCCATGTGATCTAACCTTGTTAACCAGTCTACCATGCAGAACCATGTTGAATGCCTGACTGAAGTCCATATAGACAACATCTACCGCTCTGGCTTCATCAGTCCTATTTGTCACTTCTTCAAAAAAAACTCAATCAAGTAAGACACAATTTCCCACACACAAAGCCATATTGACTATCCCTAATCAGTCCTTGCCTTTTGAAATACATGTAGATCCTATCCCTCAGAATTCCCTCTAACAACTTACTCACCACTCACATCAGGCTCACTGGTCTGTAGTTCGCTGGCTTGCCCTTTCCAGCTTCCTTAAATAATGGCACCACGTTAGCCAGCCTCCAGTCTTCTGGCACCTCCCCTTTGGCTATCAATGATGCAAGTATCTCAGCAAGGGGTCTAAAAATCACTTCCCTAGCTTCCCACAAAGTTCTAGGGTACACATGATCTAGTCCCAGGGATTTATCCACTTTTTGTGCATTTTAAGACATCCAGCACCTCTTCCTCTGTAATGTGGACACTTTTCAAGATATCGCTGTTTATTTCCTCAAGTTCTCTAGCTTCAATATCCTTTTCCACAATAAACGCTAATACAAAGTACTCATTTAATATCTTCCCCATCTCCTGCAGTTCCACACATAGCTGGCCTTGCTGATCTTTAAGGGACCCTGTTCTCTTCCTAGTTACTTTTTTGTCCTTGATGTATTTGTAGAGATCCTTTGATTCTACGTAACCCTATTTGCCAAAGCGATCTCATGTCTCCCTTTTGCCCTCTTAATTTCCCTCTTGAGTATACTCCTGCTGCCTTTATACTCTTCTTGGGATTCATTCAATCCCTGCTGTCTATACCTGACACATGCTTCCTTCTTTTTCTTGACCAAAACCTCAATTTCCCTAGTCATCCAACATTCCCTACAGCCTTGCCCTTCACCTCAAAAGGAACATACTGTTTCCAGACTCTTGTTATCTCATTTTTGACGGCTTTCCATTTTCCAGCCGCCTCTTTACCTGCGGATATCTGCCCCCAATCAACTTTTGAAACTTCTTGCCTAATACTGTCAAAATTGGCCTTCCCCTAGTTTCGAACTTTAATTTTTAGATCAGGTCGATCCTTTTCCATCACTATTTTAAAACTAATAGAACTATGGTTACTGGCCCCAAAGTGCTCCCCAACTGACACCTCAGTCACTTGCCTTGACTTGCCTTATTTCCCAAGAGCAGGTCAAATTTGGCACCTTCTCCAGTAGGTACATCCATGTATTGAATGTGAAAATTTTCTTGTACACACTTAAATTCCTCTCCATCAGATCCCTTGACGCTATGGCAGTCCCAGTCTATGTTTGGAAAGTTAAATTCCCCTACCATTACCACCCTATTATTCTTGCAGATAAGTGAGATCTCCTTACCAATTTGTTTCTCAATTTCCTGCTAACGATTGAGGGTGGATTTATAATACAATCCTAATAAGGTGATCATCCCTTTCTTATTTGGATGGAACTGAAAAGTAATTTCCCTGGACGTATTCCCAGGAATATCTTCCCTAAGTACAGCCGTAATGGTATCCTTAATCAAAAATGCCACTCCCTCCTCCTCTCTTGCCCCCCTTTCTATCCTTCCTATAGCATCTATACCCTGGAACATTAAGCTACCAGTCCTGTCCATCCCCGAGCCATCATTCTATAATAGCTGTGGTATCTCAGTCCCATGTTCCCAACCATGCCTTGAGTTCATCTGCCTTATCTGTCAGGCCTGTTGCATTGAAATAAATGTTTAATTTAATTTAGTTTAGTTTCACTTTAATTTAATTAATTAGTTTAATTTCAGTTAATTTATTAGTCCTATCTCATTCTCTGCATTGCTCCTGCCTGCCTTGACTATTTGATTTGCTCATTTTCCCAACTGCACCAGCCTCAGACTGATCCCTTTTGTCACTGTCTCTCTGGGTCCCAGCAAATTTTCCCCCACCACTCCTTGAAATCCTCTTCACTGGCTCTAGCAAATCTCCTCACCAGCATACAAAGAACAAAGAAAATTAGAGTACAGGAACAGGCCCTTCAGGCCTCCAAGCCTGCAATGACATGCTGCCTATCACAACTAAAACCCCCTACCCTTCCAGGAACCGTATCCCTCTATTCCCATCCTATTCATATATTTGTCAAGACGCCCTTTATAAGTCACTATTGTATCTGCTTCCACTACTTCCCCCGGCAGTGAGTTCCAGACACCTACCACCCTCTGTTTAAAAAATCTTGCCTTGTACGTCACCTTTAAACTTTCCCCCTCGCACCTTAAACTCATGGCCCCTGGTAACTGACTCTTCCACCCTGGGGAAAACGCTTCTGACTGTCCACTCTGTCTAGCCCTTCATAATCTTGGAGACCTCTATCAGGTTGCCCCTCAACTCTGTCATTCCAGTGAGAACAACCCAAGTTTCTCCAACCTCTCCTCCATAGCTAATGCCCTCCATACCAGGTGACATCCTGGTAAATCTTTTCTGTGCCCTCTCCAAAGCCACCACATCCTTCTGGTAGTGTGGCAACCAGAATTGAATACCATATTCCAAATCGGCCTAACTAAGGTTCGATAAAGCTGCAACATTACCTGCCAATTTTTAAACTCGATGCCCCGGCCAATGAAGGCAAGCATGCCATATGCCTTGTTCACTGTCTTTTTCCACCTGCGTTGCCATTTTCAGTGACCTGTGTCCCTCTGCCTATCAGTACTCTCAAGGATTCTTACTGTATGTTTTCCATTTGGATTAGACCTTCCAAAATGCATTACCTCACATTTTTCGAGATTAAACTCCATCTGCCATCTCTCTGCCCAAGTCACCAACCAATCTATATCCAGCTGTATCCTTTGACGGTCCTCATTGTTATCTGCAATTCTACCAACCTTTGTGTCATTGGCAAACTTACTAATCAGACCAGTTATATTCTCCTCCAAAACATTTATATATATATTACAAACAGCAAAGGTCCCAACACTGATCCCTAAGGAACGCTACCAGTCACAGCCCTTCGTTCATGAAACACACCCTTCCACTACTACCCTCTATCTTCTATGACCGAGCCGGTTTTTTTAATCCATCTTGCAAGCTCACCTCTGACCCCGTGCAACTTTACTTTCTGTATCAGCCTGCCACGAGGGACCTTGTCAAAGGCCTTACTGAAGTCCAAATAGACAACATCGACTGCCCTACCCTCATCGATCATCTTTGTCACTTCCTCAAAAAACTCAACCAGGTTAGTGAGACACGACCTCCCCTTCACAAACCCATGCTGCCTCTCACTAATATGCCCATGATTTCTAGGTGGGAGTAAATCCTGTCTCGAAGAATCCTCTCCAATAATTTCCCTACCACTGACGTAAGGCTCACCAGCCTGTAATTTGCTGGATTATCCTTGCCACCATTCTTAAACAAAGGAACAAAATTGGCAATTCTCCAATTCTCTGGGACCTCCCCTGCAGCCAGTGAGGATACAAAGATTTCCCTTAAGGCCCCAGCAATTTCCTCCCTTGCACCTCTCAGTATTCTGGGGTATATCCCATCAGGCCCTGGGGACTTGTCTACCTTAATGTTTTTCAAGACCCCCAATACCTCCTGCCTCTTGATCTCAACATGACCCAAACTATCTACACACCCTTCCCCAGACTCATCATCCACCAAGTCCTTCTCTATGATGAATACTGACGCAAAGTACTCATTTAATACTTTGCCCAGTTCCTCTGGCCCCACACACAAATTCCCTTCCCTGTCCTTGGGTGGGCCAACCCTCTGCCTGGCTACCCTCTTGCTCTTTATATATGAATAAAAAGCCTTGGGATTTTCCTTAATCTTGTTGGCCAGTGACTTTTCATGACCCCTTTTAGCCCTCCTGACTCCTTGCTTAAGTTTCTTCCGACTTTCCTTTCTTCCACCCTTGCTTCGTGTGTGCCCAGCCTTCTAGCCTTGATAAATGCTTCCTTTTTCTTTTTGATTAGGCTCACAATATCTATCATTATTCAAGGTTCCCTAAACTTGCCATACTTGTCCTTCATCCTTACAGGAGCATGCTGGTCCTGAGTTCCCAGCAGCTTACACTTGAAAGCCTCCCATGTACCATATGTTGATTTGCCCTCAAACATCTGCCTCCAATCTACATTCTTCAGTTCCTGCCTAATATTATTGTAATTAGCCTTCCCCCAATTTAGCACTCTTCCAATTCAGGTGTAACCTGTCCTCATGCAGGTCATTTCTACCCCAGAAGAGATTCCAGTGGTCCAAAAATGCATATCCTTCTCCCTGCATCAGCTTGTCAGCCACGCATTCATCTGCTCTATCCTCCTATCCCTACACTCATACCTGGAGTGATCCATATATTTCTACCCTTGAGGACCTACTTTTTAACTTCCTGCCTAGTTTCCTATATACTCTCTTTAGAACTTCATCCTTCTCGCTTCCTATGTCGT